TCTCATTCTCTCTCTCAAATAAATAAATAAAATCTTTAAAAAAAAAAAGAAAGAAAGAAAACGAGCGAAATAAATAAGATATCAGGGTGACCATCTTAACACAGGATGAGCACAAACTATTTCCAAATATTCTTCAGCTTTTTATAAGCACACAAATAATTGATGTGACAATGTACTCAGTAATTTTTAATCTATGTATTGAGGTAACTTAGCCACCACTATCCACAATGCTTTATTAGACAAGTTCAAATACATATATCTATCTGAAATAAATGTATTTCCATTTTTTTAAGAAATATTTAATTTCATAACTGTTCCTTCATGCTGGCATTCCTCTTAATTCAAACTGGTGACAATGTGAATACCCTACAATAAATAGGCCTTTGAAATAGAAAATAGCCCTTTGCCTAAATTCTAGAACATTCTACTCTCTAGTAAAGGAACTAGAAAGGCCCTTTAGGTTTTAAGCCACCTCAAGTAAAGCGTATGTTTGGTCTAACTTGTTTATATCCCTTGAAGATAATGGGGTAATCGGTAAAACTTGGATATGCTAAGAAAATGTGAAAGAACAATGTTATCTTGATAAAACCCTTCCACCAGACTTTTTCCCTTTGAACTCATGGAATAAATACATTGAGCTCACTGGGGTTTCTGTCAGTATTATAATAACCAACTTGACTGCTGTCCTTGGGGTTTCTTTACACTATATTCCAAAAGTAATCAGCACTCCCTCTAATATTCGCCAAACCCCTCTTATGTGTCCAATATGGGCACCAGGGATATCCAGGGATCAGAGCCAGACATGGTCTCTGCCTTCCTGGAGTTTAGGATGTGGAGGAGAAAGAGATGTTAATCAAATAGTCACACGTGTACGACTACAAACCTGGCAAAAATGTATGAAAGCATTTCCCCCAGTCCCGGGCGGGACTATAAGAACAGAGAACAGCAGCCCAGACTAATCTGCTGAGAAAGAGTCTTTTGAGACGCTAGTTAATTAAGTGAAGGGGGTGGTAAAGGGGTCCTAGGAAGCCAGGCAGAGGAAACGGCATGTGCAAAAGTCCTGGGGTAGAGTGCACGTTCAGCCAGTGAAGCTAAAACAGGGAGGGCAGGGGGTAGAAGGGCAAAAAAGGGCTAAAGAGGGAGGCAGGGGCTATGACACACAAACACAGTGAACCACGTTAAGGATATTGGTCTTAATTATGAGAGCCCTGGGAACCCAAAAGCTTTTAAGGAAGGAATAACATAACATAAATTGGACCAGTATCCTACATCGACTAATGCAACTACATTATAGAGACTGAGAAAGAGAGGGCAAGAAGAGACCAGTGGACCACAGGAAGCAATCCTGGGACAGAGGGTGCTAGCCTATACTTGGGGGAGTGGAACTGGAGAGAGATGGGTACGTCTGAGAAATATTTAAGATGGTAAATTGATAGGGCGTGGTGATGAACTGAATGTGGGAAATGAGGAAAAAGGAAGGGTCTAGCCCGTGAAGGGACACTGGCACCATTTTCTGACTATGGTCCAACAAAGGAAGAATTCACACGAAAACCGTGAGTTCAATCTTGGAAACGACCCAGTTCGAAGTGTCTTGAAGCATTCACATGGAGATGTCCACAGTGCTGGCTACCTGATAAACGGACAGGAAATACAAAAGAATGGTTTGGAAATCAAACATGGGTGAGTGGGGTTGCCTAGGGAAAGGTAGGTGGTCTAAGCAGAAGATAAGACCCTAGGACAGCCCCCAACGACCCCCCTGTGGGGGCAGAGCCAGAGTGGGGCCAGCCTTGGGAGGAAGAATGCCAGGCGAACACAGGGGCATGGAGGTCAAGCAAGGAAAGTGCTTCAAGAAATAGGTGAAGAGGCTGACAGAGACCTGGAAAAAAGTACAGGCATTTATAGAAAGGGACACCAAAGTCATGCATATTTAGACACACCATTTAAGTGAAAGGACTGATGAGAATTAGTCTACCACTCTAAGTATTGCCTCATTACAGTTATACTCACAAACAGCAAGAAGATACTTAACTTAAAAAAGAAAATTAAACTATCGGATTGAATCCCTTCTTTTGACAGATGAAGAAATTCCAGAGGGGCGGTGACTTGGCCTTGGGCTCCCAGCCAGAAAACAGGGTTGGGAGGTGAACCCCCACCTCCCCTTGCTCTGTGCCTTCCCTACATTCTGGGATGCCTTTCCCTGCTTCAACACAGAGCTAGCTCGTGAAAACTCAGTATTATGGCTTGTGCTTATTTCTCTGACATACAAGCATGAAAACACACTCCACTACACAAACCCCCAAACTGGCTGAGCGAAGTAGAAACACCCTTTTGTTTTCCATGCTTACCTCTTTGATTGTGGTATTTCTTCCCCTCCATGAAAACCACCATCTTCCTCCCTTTCTGGGCATCTTATCCCTCATGATAGATTCCACAGTAGCCTGTTTTAAATGGATGGTAACATAAATAATGGAACCAAAAAAAGATCAACTTAGCACATCAAACCAAAAGACACACACGCGCAAATTAAAGATTAAAAAAAAAAAAAAAAAATCAGAGAAAACACAACATACTATTTGTGGACCAAAAATTTTCGAGAAGCAAAACCTAATGGCGTCCAAAACCACATGAAGATAACTTAAGCATGAAGACTTAAGAAGATGTTAAAGGAATAAACAAACAACAAATAAAATACAACACAACAACAACAGAAAAAGAAAGCATTGAAAATCATTAGTGATTAGTTAAGATCAGAGGTTTTCAAATTAAAGTGATTTACTGGTTAAACTACTGTTACTCTCAGTATGATGATTATAAAATTAAAAAATGAAATGATTAATATGGAATATAGGGTAAAACGGTTTTAAACAAAGAGTAAAATGCACAGGATCTCTTTAGTAAATGTAAATCGCCAAATTGGGACAAACTGAACCCTAGTAGATGCCTTTGGGTCAAAACCTCAAGTATTAAAAAGAAAACTCATACTCACGCCCTAAATAAATCAAAGTTTAATGGGGGAAGATTAAATATTAATTAATAATTTTCTAAAAGAAAATTTCCAAAGAAGAAAATATCTATCTTGAGGCGAATTCCAGCACCAGGTAAACAGTATTTCCTCTCCCTTCCTTGGTTCACAGAACTATCAGGGAACGGACACCCCCCACCAGTAACGAAAGAACAATTTACATCTTTTGACCAAACAGGTTTCAGGTTAAGTGAGAGATTAAAAAATTTACATATTTCGCCTATTGTGCTTCTTGTTATCATTTAAAAGTCCCTACTTGATACAAAAGAAACTGAATACACGGGAAAGCAAACCATGAGTAACCTATTCATAAAGAGGATAATTCGTACAGATGTCGATTACCCTATTCCTCCTAAATTCATCCATAAATGTAACAAAACCCCAATTAAAGAAAAAAACTAATAGGATTATTTTCACACCTAGACAAAGCAATTCTAAAGTTCATTTATAAAACAAATAAAAATAGCCAAGAAAACTCATAGACAGAAGAGTATTATTAGATAGGTACAAGCCTTACTAGATACTAAAATATACTGAAAATCTATCATAATTATAAGAATGCATGTTGGTACATGAGTAAACATATACATGGAACAGAAGACAAAGTCCAGAAATGAATCTAAATTCATGAAGAAATATCATACACACTGTAGCTATAACTGCCTATCAGTGGGGGGAAGACTTATCTAACAAAAGGTACTGAGATAATTAGGTAGCTATGCCAGACCCGGTTACTTGCCTCCCTGGGCACATCATCCCCTTTCTTTCTTGCCAACACATCCAAAACTCTGTTTAGGAATCAGGTGCAATATGTTCTGACCTCGCTTCATCTACGCCATTCACGTTCATTCTACTGTTTTGCCAGCAACTGGTTTGGAGGTGATCATGTGACCAAGCTGTGGCCAATGAAATGTGAGAAGTCTGTCTCATCCTTCCTATTTGGGGTGTGGCTGTTGGAGAGGATGATGTGGGGGACAGCCACCTTGTGATCATAAAGGGAAAGCCAAGACAATCATGGAGACGCTCACCCTGAAACTACCAACCTCGAAGATTCTTACTATGTCAGATAATAAACCCTTATTATTCAAGCTACTCGTGGTCATTGTTTCCTACAAAGCATCATGATTCAGTAACCAGCTGGGAAAGAACTGATTTGGTTCCTGATACCTCACTCACTCACAAAATAAAATCTAGACAGATCAGAGATTTAAGAAAGTACTAGGGGAGAGCGCCTGGGTGGCTCAGGGGGTTAAGCATCCAACTCTTGATCTCAGCTCAGGTTTTGATCTCAGGGTCGTGAGTTCAAGCCCCACATTGGCCTCCACGCTAGGCAGGGAACCTAAAGAAAAAAGAAAAAAGAAAAAAAAGAAAGTACCCGGGGGAAAGCTAGCATATTTTCACAAGTTTCAGAAATGGGGAAGCAGGGCCATTCTAAGTGTGATACAAGACCCAACAGCCTTAAAGGATGGACAAATTCTACATACAAAACTAATTCTACATTAAGAAACACCATAAGCAGAGTCAAAGATTTACTGACAGCTTGTAAAGGATATCACAAAGCCTCAGCTTAGGAGCCATGCACACGTCTTTTGTGAGCTAAACCCCTTTAAGTTAAAGGATATTTCTATTGCATTGGTCTTTTTTCTTCCTGATTTGTTAAGAGCTGAGAAATGTAACATAAAAATTTATCCTGGGCCATGAATACCAAGAGGGGACAGGGAAGCCAGCAGGGACAAAACAAAACCAGGGAGGAAAACAAGACCTCAGATAAAGTACCACCACAGAGGAGGTCACAATCTCCAAACCCCAAAGCTACCCACACAGGTATGTGCACATCCAAGCACGCATCCCCCGCACACGCGCACACGCAGGAAGGAGTGAGCACGGGCCCAACGACGTCAGAGCAGACTTTCAAGAACCTCGGATATCACAACTATCTGATGGCTACAATATCCAAACCACACGAAGCTCTTGCTGAGCGGACGAGGGAGACAAGGTAAGACATGGTCTTTGCAGCACAAAGAACGTATAATCTAGTAGGAAGATAGAAGGTGGAAAAACTGAACAATTCCAGGCCAAGTGTCCGGGGAGACCTCGGGGGAGCACGACAGCATGGGGGGCTACAGCGGCCCGCCTGCCCTTCTAGCCCTGCCTCTTCCCGCGGCCACCGCCTGCCCTCTCGTGCGGCTAGGAGCTGCCGGCCCTGCGCTCTCCCCTCCTCGGCCAGTGAGGCCCGGGGCTTGCTTCCCGGCTCACATCTGATGCTCTGTCTCCCTGCACCCACACTGCCATTGGCTCCAGCCCTTCTCTCTCGTCCCCTCGCCACCCCTGGGCTCTGACATCTGTGCATCTACCCACTCTGCCCCCACCTCCGTCCCTAGCACGGCAGGTGTCGGGAAAGGAGCCCCGGAAGGGGCAGGACTCGGGACTGGGAGGTTTCGCCCCGATAAGCAGGAAGGGGAAGGACCTTCAGGGTGCAAGAGAGGCAGATTCCAGACCCCTGACCTCTGTAACCATGAACTTCAAAAGAACGTAATGTAATTAACGCTGTGGTTCTGAAGTAAAAGTTAAATTCCAACCGCCCGGATTACTCTGCCTGTGGTATTCAGTGCCACCTCTTCCGCCTCGTGTTCAAGCTCACCTTTGGCAAGGGTTTCTGGAAGGCCTGCATTGCCAGGAGCAGAGGCGCTGCCGTCGTCCAGTTATAATACCTGATGTGGAAAAAAGAATTGGATGTCAAAGACCGAGGCTCGGACTGAAAAATCTCCTAATGTCACGAGAAACAGTCAAGGAAAGCTCTGGAACCCCGGCTGGCTCCTTAATGAGCCCAATGCTGTTGCCAACACCCCGGCCCTCCCCCATTTGCCCTTCACCCTGCTGACCCCACAGCAGCTGCTCTCGGGGGCCAAGCAGAGACTTGCCACACCTCATGGAAAAGGCAACTAGGTACCCCAAGTTAATACCTAAACACCCTCGACTTCCTCTCAGGAAGAAAAGTTTGCTGACAGTCTACAAGAACACCTGCACGTCCCCTGACCCCAGACACCGAAGTCTTCACGGGGTAGATAAGCAGTCTATGCTGTGATGCCCGCGGACGATGTGGGCCTGTGGCTCACAGGCCAAGGGCCGAGACTGGATGCATTCCACTATAAAATCTAGTATGGGGCCGCCTGGGTGGCGTAGTCGGCTAAGTGCCCCACTCTTGGTTTCGGCTCAGGTTGTGATCTCAGGGTTGTGAGATGGAGCCCCCACATCGGGCTCTGCGCTCAGCAGGGAGTCTGCTTGAGATCCTCTCTCTCCCCCTCCCTCTGTCCCTCCCGCTCATGCTCTCTTTCTGTCTCTAAAATAAATACATCTTTTTAAGAAAAATCTAGTACAGATGAATATTAAAACCCACAAGACTGACAGTTACACCAACCTACCAACTATATAACAACACGGTAATTTGCCAAGAGTGAAGAGATAATAATAAATTTCAACAAAGACTTCATCTTACATATTTCTAAGGTTTACTGTCTGGGTCTCTGCTTTTGAAAAACTGAAATGCAAACAGTACCATGAGGCAGTCAAAATGACTTTCAAGAGGAACCTACTTATTCCCGATCTTCACCACAAGATTGGGGTCATCAATGAGAGCCGGGTTGTCCACAAACTGTTGATACGACACGGCTTGTTCCAGAAATGCATCTATGAAAGCAATCATAGGGAACAAGGAGAAAACAGAAGGAATATTTTGTTCAAAAAAACAGGCTTAGGTTTCCCTCACTCATTCACAAGTGTTTTCAGCTGTATAGACAATTCTTCAAACGTATTTGTAAAGGGGCTTGAGTTAGTTTGGGGACAGCGTCTGTGCAGAAATGAAGGGCGGCTGGGGGCAGTCCGAGGACGTGGGGCAAGCGTATGTCCAGGCAGGGCGCAGGTGTGTGGAAAATGCAGTCTCCCTACGCATCTACAGAAGCAGGTGACTGGTAAGTAGATTTAGAAACCAGGCCATGCAGTTTCAGTCACATTCATTGGTGTGAGCTTGTGTTGAGCGAGTACTTAATCTCCCCAAGCCTCGGTTCCCTCGTCTGTAACGTGGGGATTAAGAACCACGCCTGCTTCCTCGGTGGCTATGAGGCTGGGAAGCACAATGTCCTGCCTAAAGCGAGGGCTCACTCCATGTCAGTGGGTGAGGTGCTGGTCACTGTCACGTGTAGGAAGTGCGGAAGACAGCGTGAGGCCTGGCCTCCTGACCCAGCCCCACCACATTCCGGGAGGCAGGAAGGCCGCAGGGGCCGGAGGCCCTGGACCTTAGCCCTGACTCTAGCTTCTGCAACTAGCTCTGGCCAAAGGCTCTGGCCTCCACTCGACATCCCCCATTCAGCTGGCCCTGGCTGGAGCCTTGATGAGGGTTCTGCCCACCTCTCTGGCTCCAATTTGTCCCCACTCCTTCCCTAAGGGGGTGCAATATACCCTGAATGGAACCAAGACCCAGCAGACCCTGGCTACCGGGAGTCACCCACGTCCAGTAGAAAAAGACCCCTTGGTCAGGACACCAACCCAAACTGTCCATGGCATGTACCTTTGGAATCCTAATTCATACCGCTAGGTACTCTCCTCAGGGGCTCCTGGTCATGGGAATCTGGCCTCATCTGTATGAACCCCCGTGAAAGGACACTCAGTGTGCAAGTGTACCAGAGAGGGGGAGCCATCGGACACCAGCCTTCTCACACCTCTTCCTGGCCCACAGAGTGTGCTCACCTCTTCAAGGCCCCAGAGTGGTTGGTGATCGAGATTTGGAAACAACGTGGCTGGTTATTAGAGGGGTGGGAGGCTTAGAAAGACCTCCTGTGATGGACTAAACCAGCTGGATCACATTAAGGAACTTAATGTTCAGTTCAGCACCAGGTGATGGATTAGCTGGTTCAGGTTCCAGAATAAGGGGCCCCAGCTTTTGTGTGAGAAGAACTTCACAAAGCCCTGTGGGGACTTCAGGATAGACAGGAGTCTAGGGTGGCAGCTCAGGGCTGGAAGGGAAGAGGGTGGCTCCCAAGTGGCAAGGGGATGAAATGCACAGCCTCACCCCTTCCCGGCTAGAAAAGCAGACCACTGTTGGGGGTGGGGGGGGCGTGATGAGAAAGAGAGAACAGTGGAGGTGGGAGAGGTGGGAGAGGTGGGAGAGGTGGGAGAGGTGGGAGAGGTGGGAGAGGGACACTCAGGGCCACTAAGATCACTCGAGGAATTCATCAGTTGGTGATGGCTGATGCATCCATTGGGGGTCTTGGGGCCACCTCACCACGTAGCTGTCACGAGACACTGGGAAACCATCGTTCTGGATTTGACGGACACTACAAATTAACTCACTACTGACGCCAAGCCTATGAGCACCCTTGAGATCCAGCTGGCAAGCGCGCCTGAACGTGCTCAAACTCAGACGTCCCTCCCTCCCCAAGACCCCACAGCCTTTCTGACACTTCCAGTGCCCTGTGTCCCCATAACCCTGACACTCCCACTGGGCTGCAGGCTCCGGAGGGCACCTCTGCAGGACAGGCACAGGGAAGGAGACACACATCATGCTCAGCAAACACGCCCGACGACAAGCGGCCCCGAAGCCATGTGTGAACAGAGCCCTCAGGGCAGCCAACTGCAAGCCAGCAGCACTTGGGCCGTGAGCTGCAGTGAGTCGTCTGTGCTCTCGCGAACCCGGCCAAGTGAACAGCGACTTTGGACATGAACTAGAGGAGCCCAGGCTTCCGGACGTTCTGGCCATTGGCCACACGAGGGCGCTCGTGGCCCGAAGACCGGCTCCAGGGCCAGGCTCCCAGGCGGTACCTTTGGTTATCTCCCGATTGTCGCTGAGGCCCCCGCACAGGGAGATGGCGATGGATGGCAGGTCTCTCAGGCTGTCCGACGTGCTCTCCACGCCGCTGTCGATGCCAGAGCTGCCCACGGACTGCGGGGACTGGTTGGCAGACCGGGCCCCGTTGTCGCTGGCGTGTTTGGAGAGTCCAGAAGTATCTCCGCTGGGAGAAGGAAGAGGGGAGATGTTCTGACATCACAGACAGCAAACGGCTCCCGAGTAGTGAAGGAGCTCATCTCAGGACCATGACAAAGACAGACAAATGAAATCAACTACCTTGGGAGAGAAGCAATTATTTTAGCCTGTTGTCCTCCCCGTGTCGCCTTCCAAGCCTACGTGAAATGAACGGCAGGGAAAGCACGCTGTCCTCAGAGGCCACAGATCTTGCTACCACCCTCGGGGGCCATGGGAGAATCTCTCCTGGGGAGGGAGAGGGCTGTGCAGCTGCCCCCTCTTGGCCACTGAGTGGGGTTGTGGGCCACCACCCCCCGCGACGCGACTGTGGTGTCTCCCCGGCAGCCAGCCTTGGGGCCTGCCTTCCTGTTCGGAAGGTGGGAAGCCAGCCACACAGAGATGGCCACACACGTGTCTCCAGAGAAAGTCCATTATTTACTGGCAGCTTTTCACAGTAAAATCCGAGCCTCCCTTTTCTTACTCACCTTCCAATCAAATATAAGGGGGGAAAAACCAGACTCACACAGATTAACACAGAAAATGATACGAGGAATAAAAAGAAATTTTACTTTTTGGGAAAATACAGGGCAGCCACTTCAGGATCCATATCTGTGAGGTCATCCAAGTAGACGCCGTCAGCACCAAGATGCCTGCTTCGTTTGTCTGAAAGAGCAAACGGGTCGAGTCAGAGCCCTGGTCTTCCATGGACTTGTGAGTAGCTCCGGAAAGCACTTAAACAGAATGTGCAAATTTGCTCCAAAGTGTCCCCCCTGGCCCACGAATACACGAGCTGGAGGCCGGCAGCGCGGCAGGACTCCGGAGGCCGACTCACCGAGGCAGCGTGCAACCCCACCACTGCCAAGAGCGTGCCCCTGACCGAGTTACACGACCTTGACGGGCTCCGTCCCCCATCTGTGAAGTGCCTGACGTGTACTGAGCACTCAATCTATTGAAGCGACTGCCACCATCATTATTCAATGATGAAAGCTTTCACTAAGCACGTCCTGGGATCCATAGTCCCAGGCCCGGGGGCCTACACGGCGCGTGGGCGGTCACCGCGCACCATGACCGCGGACTTCCTGTTTCCTTCTGCCAGAGAACTACGCCACTGGTTCACACAAATCTAGAAAA